AATTGCACAGAGGAGTATTTGGGCAAAAAGCTTCTTAGCACATAATTTTGCACGCCACTGTGTTCCTAACTCTCCAGTGCACTATGTGGCAGCCATTTTATGTTCCTTTATTTTGTTTTCATCCCGTTGTCGGCTGTCAAAGTTCTGCTGTTAGTTGCATCACCGACAAACCGACATGACACTTAATTCTGACTTATGCCCGACGGCCGATTTAAATGTGAAGTGATCCGAACTGTCAAAACCATAGGATTTTTTGATCTAGATAAAAATAATTTGTCCAGAATAGATCAGACACGAATTCAAAACTTTTGCATGCGGTTTCATGGATTAGCTAAATATTTCCCGCGAACACGGAGCCAGATGTCAGTAGTGTGCTTTAGCGAGAAATTTTATTATTTTTGCTATGGTCATTCATGTTGGTTTGTCGGTGGTTGCATGTCGAAATTTCGTTTTAAAATAAAGACTTTCTCTCAAAAGTTTTTCGAATTTTAAGCTAAGCGCCAACCTGAATCAAAACGGATTTTCAAGATAAAGGTATGTAGAATATTTGGAACTCAAGAAGCAATGAATTTCAAAGTAGTAATTATCAAGGTAGAAGCAAGTCACGATTTTTGCTTATGTGTTTATGTTTGAAAGGTATTTTTGTTAATATTCCGGGCATTTCCGGGCAGAATGTTTGATACTGAAGGATATATTAGGGTTCTAACAAATGATCTACGGCAGAAAATTATATGAATTTTTGCGATATAAGGTACACTAGTTAAGGAAATTAAGCTGTTTTCTCGTTAAAATAAAAAGCAATAGTGAATACCATGTATTGCCTAAATTCTCTTGAGCATTATTCAGTTGTTTATATTCGCAACATACATGAAAACTTTGAAAAAATACCTATTGATTTTAGAAATTTATAAAATAATCTTGAAATGCCACTAATCGCGGCAAAATGCACCTACACGGTAACCGCAAAATACCCAATAATGACTACTAAGTAAGCATTTTCGATGGAAACTGGGACTACCCATTAAATGAGTAAAATTTTACCCATTTATGAGTAATTACAACTACAAAAACAAGTAGTAAGTATTCATTTTTGAGTAGCAAATACTCATAAATAGGTAATATATTTATTCATTGAATTGGTAGTCCCAGTCTCCCTCGAAAATGCTTACTTTGTAGTCATTATTGGGTATTTTGCGATTACCGTGTATGCTGGAGTAAAATACACAAAGGGGCAAGACGCACTATAATGATGAGGCAAAATATACCCAAACGATGGGGCAAAATGCACTTCAATAATGGGGCACTATTTAGTGTTTCGATTTAAATGTTGTGAATACCAGGAAATGATTCAAATATTAGTGCCAACACCGCCCACCACCCATTGGACAGCACTCAACCACACCACGAAGTTCCGCTACTCACAGCCAGATGCCGCTGACATCAGGAGTGGTTGGTCATCGGAAGGTGGTGTAAAGGGGGCCATAATGAGGCGAAATTGGGCAGAAGAAAAATTGATCAACGATCGAGAGCGCAAGGAAATCACCCGCCATCGTTGCTAGCCAATTGACTGGCAAAAGTCAAAAGTTGTAGTCGAAAACCAAGCTAGACAAACCCAAAACGAATATGATATACATCTATACTTAGTGAAAGATCGTTATTCGAAAAGGGAAATAAATTGATTAGTCTGCACGAGTCTTGAGGCGTGAAACTCGATCAGTAGTGGAGGAGGAGCCAACCTACTAAAATATCCAGGACCCCGTAGTTTACCGTTAGCATTTATCTACGGTGCGGTCAGATCCCGTAGTGTTCGTTGTTTTCGACCTACTGCTGTCAAACCCCAAAGTTACCGTACAAATACAACCGTATTCACTAGTCCGTGTTCATTTTCGCCATTTTGGATCTGCCTTGAACGTCGTGGACTCGTTATACCGTTCGCGAACGGCTCGGCAAACGGTACCGTTGGAGCACCCGTAGGAGGAGAGGAGAGTGAAGTGGTAAGAGGTGAATCGACTGGGCAACCCACAGTCGAAACCGAGGGACGAAGGACAGAAGCAAAAGAAAGGAGAAAGTGAAGTTGAAGGTGTAGCGGAACGGAGGAGAAGGGGTCCTCCCCCCATCGACGACGGAAGACAAGGAATAACTAGTGAAGGCTAAGGTAGGAGATAGCTGATAAGAAAGTGGGAAAGTTTAGAGAAATAAAAAATACCTGTGTGAAAGTTCATCGGGGTGTGTTAAAAGTTTTTGAGTGTTTTTTTTTGCCGCGATAGTCAATCGTGTATGCCGACCCTGAGGCAGTGTAGAGGGGGGTCTAATTAGTGCTGGGCAGGGAGTACCCCACCTGTTACAACCATTTGTGGCAGAAGAACGTCTTCGTTTTTAGCTGCCTCGAGTTCCGATCGTAGTTGTTCAAAGGTCCATGACCGCTAAATAGACTTCGGAATTTTGCGGATCATTTCTGAAGAAAGAATAGCACGTAAACAAAGCTCGTTTACTAAAGGATCATTTTGCCCCGAACTTAGGAGTGCATCTTGTCCTGAATTCATATTTAAATATACCGGTATTTTACCAGAACGATGTAGCTCTGATCTCAATCAAATGCTTAATGTCTTTCTCCGATGCTTAATAATGTTTGAATCGCAAAAAATCTTAACAATGCGTAGGACAAAATTACACTACATCCAATGCAAACTGGTTTATGTTTTTATTTACATTATCTTATAACATAGAGCTGCCAAATTGATACGGTGTCCAAAGCAAACATAGATTTAACTTGTAGGGTGACTACTTTGTTGTGAAAATGTATTATAGGCTTTAAACGAAGGAAGTACATCTTTCCCCAATGGTGCATGTTACCCCAGGTACCCCTATTGGTATTTTTTGCCAAGGTAAATATTTCATTCTGCATATGGTTGCATGCAATTATTGAAAGTTTTGTTCATTGAATTCATTGCTTTAGAGTCTAGAACATAGTATTTGAGTATATTAAGAGTATTTCTATAATCGATGATGAAATAATGTTGCAACATATTATATACCTTTAATTAGATGAATTATAAACAATAGAGAAAAATTCAAATTGCACTTTTAGGGGGATTTTTTTTTTCTTTTTTCATACAATTTTACATGAGAACACATTATAATCAAATTTCAACAAAAAATTATCGATTTGTAGTTTTGGCCAACTTTTTGGGTCAAATACTCCTATGTGCATTGTGCAATTTCACTGTTTTGGATCAAACGCTGAGTAGCAACCATTGATATGTGCAGTCAGAGCTGACTGCACGTTGCTACTCCGCGATTGATCCAAAACAGTGAAATTGCTCTAAGCTTCGTCATTATTTCATTGTACTTTTCAAAACGTCTTATGGAATTTCTTCGGAAACTAAATACTTTCACAAACTTATAGGCGGACTATTTTTGGTCTTCCAGGCAATTGTGCACAATTATTTTTCAGGCACGGTTCATAGCATAAGATTTATAGGGGAATTTACGTATTCTCGTCAATCTAAGCAGCGTCCGTACTTCTATTAGCGATTTCTCAGCGTCACACACACACATGACAGGTTTGTTTGTTGACATTTATCTGCTGCTTGCTGTTCTACCAATTCCAATCGACAGAATTGATCAAAACGGGTTGAACATGTTTTTACAACGCTGCAAACTTCTCAGGTGAGTGTGACTATTGTTGGCAGTCTCTTTTTCTTCGGCACCCTTTCCATTTGAACTGCGTTCTATTATCGGCAACTCGAAATCAGCCGTATTTTGTAGTGTGTATATTTCATTTAAAGAAAAATATGGCAGAACCGGATTGCACAGTCGTAAAAATGTAATCCGATTGAAGCTGAAAAGGTAAGGAATCGGCTTAATACATTCAGCGAAGAGTTTTGATGGGAAAATACAGTGAAATTAACGTTTCAATTTCGGTTGCCGAAAACAGTCAATGGGTGCCGAAGCCATAAATTACCCTACATGAAATGGATGTGTTTCACAATAAGGGCAAAAATGAGTGTGAGATACATGATGGTGACGTGTGGATTTTTTGAGTACAGAAAGTTTAAATTCACTCGTTGGCGATTTTCTTCTTCAATGTTTGTTCTATGGATATGTTTGTTTTGAAGAGTATTCCAAGAAAATAGTTCATGTAAATATCAACTAATATTTTTGTATATTTAGACAAGTTGGCCCAAACTCAAGGCTACTTTTGGTTCGGAGTTCGCTAGTTGTCGTCTTAACTAAACGACGTCTAAACGTCGGACGTCTTAACTAAAAAGCAGTTATCTCGCCAGAAAATTGTGTCAAACTAGCCTTGCAATTTTATTGTTGTTACCTGGGAATAATCTTAGGGCATAGATTCTCAACGCTGTCTCAATGTGAGATCATGCTCGCTCTATATCGCTTCTTTTTATGACCTTTTCATTCAATGGAGGCAGGCGATCCCCAGATTGAGCATCGATGATCTAGTGAGCTGTTTTGCATCAAAATCTAAAGTTTGACAGCTGCAATGAGCGAATGCTATTCGATAGATGGGATGAGGTTGCGTCAACCAACAAATGATAACAGAACCCCGACCTACGTTGACAGCTAGTACTGATAACCGACCTTACTGTTGAAGGTGCCTATGTCGGAATCAATTAGCATTAAGAGCTTGACATTTTATCAATTTTTTTTCGTTTTCTCTCTTCAAATAACTGTGAATGAAAAAATATTTCCCACGGTTTGCATAATATTTACCGTTATACTATACTTAATGTAAGTTATGCAAATTAATTCGAAGCTTTTTACGGATGAACGGAGAATGGTAGGAACTGTATTGGTATATCATACGGGTGTTTGGGTTATTAAACTGCAACTGTTTATTGTTTGTTTTGTGTATAGTGTGCTGTTTAATTTATTTCTCCACATTTGTCATGTGTCATCTCACTCAGTTACTAATCAATTTTGTTTATAAACTAATTGTTAAAAAATTCAACCAAAACTGTTATTGTACCTCATCCAAATAGTTTCATCAATTCCTTGTACCGGAACCAGTAGGCAGCAAAGAATTGTCGGTGGTCAAGATTCTGCCCGTGGTCAAACTACGTACATAGCTAGCCTTATGAGGCGTGGAGGCCATTTTTGCGGTGCAACTATACTCAACGAGAAATGGTTTCTCACGGCCGGCCACTGCGCATGCAAGTAAGTTGATGTACAATGTTATCGGCACAAATGACGTTATTTTAAAATTCCAAAGACCTCACACTAAAAGGTGTATCACGTGGAGTTATAAAAACACTCAAAATTATGTTGTCTTAATGGTCATAATTGATTATTTATTGCATGTACAAACTTGATTTAGTACTAGGGGAAACGGCTCTCATGTTTGCCTACACAGATAAAAATACTTTGTAAATTTTAGCTACCAACGGAAGCAGGTGAATATAAAATTAAACGTTTAACTATCTGCAATTAAATTAATTAAAAATTAAATTAACACGTTCATGTAAATGTAAATCGTTGTTCGTTCAAAATTAAATCAATTTCAATTAAACAAAATCAGCGGCGCCAGTGGTGTAGTGGTAAGCGTGATTGCCTCTAGCTTCAAAGGGCCTGGGTTCAATCCCAGTCACCGCCGTTGGGATTTTCTGAGATGAGTCGATAGGTAAGGTCCAGGTGTGGAAGCTGCCGCCCTGGCGTCGGTAGTATTGGTACTCAGTACAAGATCGACTGAAAAAAAACTGAACTTTTGACATCCATGGAGAAGCACTCATGCATGTAAAATGCAATGCAAATGAATGTATTTCTAAATACTTTGATGTAAAATTAATGTTTTTTTTGGGCAGAAAATACATCAATGTGCCAAATGGAAACTTACAAAGTTTTTGCTGTGTATGGATCTAAAGATTGGGCTTATCGATAAGGAGGAGAAATCTGTCCATAAACTTGTTAATATTTGAATGGGTGATTGTCAACGGAGATGGAGGTGGTCAAAAATTTCGACGTGGTTTATGGAAGGCCCCTTATCGGAATTGTTATAGAAAGTGCCGAAAATGCACATTACACTTCTTGTTTACATTTACATACTGTTGACATAAATTTGGACGGTATCGTCATTTGTGCCGGGTAACCCCATTCTGGAGAGATATCGTCAGTTCAGAGAAAAATTAGCATCCTGCGTCAGATTATTTGACAACCGCATGTTAAACAACATGCTGTGGTTGTCAGTTGCAATGCTATTTTTTCTCTGAACTGGCAATATTATTTACATATTATTTCTAGTGGTCTTAACAAGCCTGTTCGCTCCAGCCAGATAAAAGCAATAGTAGGTTTGTACAAAATTTCTGAATTCAACAGAAACCGAATAGATAATAGTGTAGGTAACTCATATGAGGTGTCAATTCAAACAATCATTTTCCATCCGGAATACGCGTGTAGTCAGCCCTACAATGACATTGCGCTGCTAGAGGCTACTAAATCTATTTACTTTGATCAAAATATCCGTCCGGTTTGCATAGCCAACAAACAGGACTCTTCCGCACATGTCGAAGGTAAGACTGCTATTGTCTCTGGCTGGGGTTGGAATCAGGAGAGCCAAAAGGACGGAAACAAACCAGATACTCTACAACGTGCCATAGTCGACGTGTTCCGAAACGAGGATTGTGAAGGATTCTACCACGATGGAAACCGACCGCGAACCATCGCCAGTACGCAGTTATGTGCGGGCAAACGAACCGGTGGGGTTGATTCCTGTTGGGCAGATTCTGGAGGACCACTGGTAACCAACGACGACGTGCTGATTGGTATTGTTTCCACCGGGATCGGTTGTGCACGACCCGGATTTCCAGGAATTTACACACGAGTTAGTGAATTTACTAATTGGATAAGTGATGTCGTACGAAAATGAAGTTGAGGCAATGTAATGTGTTAGGCCACATCTCTAGTCAAAATAAAAACTAAGCAAATGTGATACTTTTGATTATAATGTACAATTGGAAAGTATTTTAAAGTTAAAATTATATTATGTACATACAACTGTAGTGTTATGTTTATTTTTCCGAACTCTCATCAGTTATAGTGTAGCACTTTCATTTCGCTATCAGCTGTTTTTGAAACCGGCAGCCAACCGCCCGAAAAGTTATAGTCGATAGCAGCTATTGTTTCGTTGCGCTTTGTTCGTTTTATGTAGCTCGGTCGATACTCTTGTTGTCACCGTTTGTGGATGAGTGTTGAAATAAATAATTCACTTTGCTTTCATTTTGCCAATGGAAGTGGTGTTGAAAGAAAACTACAGTAGCAAGAATTGTGGATTGCAGTCAATTTTACTCTTATGAAACGTCATTTAACTACGCAATTAGAAAAAATGTAATTAGGTTTTGTTAAATAAAAGTTAACTAGTGCTATTCTTCGAACCGGTAGCATATTTCCCTTTTCCCAAAATGTCCCTTTCATTCTTGATCCATTAGTCCCATTCCTAATTTCCCTACTCCTTCATGATCCGGGTGAGTGGGTGTTGTTTTCTGTATGCTAAGTGTAGGTGTATAACAGTTGGTGTGTTTCTGTATTTCATTCGACCGTTCATAGTGGAGTTAATGTTATTCAGTTCCCTAACTGGGTTCTTTAAGGGTATTGAAGTAAATGCATATTCGCAATCCTCTTTAAAAATGGAATCCAAACCCAAAATTTCATCAATTTTGGTACATTGGAACTATTTTAAATAAGAACGATTACATTTGCAAAAATCACCTTATTTGCGCCCCTCGGTGTCACTTTGTATGGGAGCGAGCTGTCAGTTTGTCAGTTTAGTGTCAAATAGTGAAGTTATTATTTTGCTTTAAATCTTGATTTAAAAATCGAGATGAAAGTGTGTGGATTCGAAAAAAATATCGCTGTGCTCAGAAAACGGAGGTTTTTCAGATGATACATAAAAAACGATATATTTTTCAAAATTAAAGAACCCAATTCCTATCTGTTTTATGTATATGAATGTACCATTTGATGGAAACGTAGATCAATGTGCAGAAAAAGCTCCTGGAACAGCTTGTGAAGCTGAAGGAGAGTTCCTGATGGAGACACTCATACGATCCACGAAAAGGAGTGTGAGTGAGAAGTGTTTTCCAAGGATGCAGCTGCACAAGAAGAGGTAAACCGAGTGTGAATTTTCACCTGGTTCAAAGGTGAATCTCTCAACGGTTTAGCTTGCAGGTAAATTATTACTTACCTCTTGGAGCTCCTGGAAATGAAAGGCCACGAGTTCTGGGTTTTCAAATCTACGAAGCATAGCCTACTTTGATCAAATCGACATAGAGTGTACTTCGACTTTAGTTCCGTATACATTTCTACCGAATCATTAATACACCCAACAAACAATTTCAGCTGCAGATTAGCTTATACAGCCAAAATTTGCCTTATGCAACTAATTTTTGCCTGTATAAGCTAAGCTGCAGCTAAAATTGTTTGTTGGGCAGCTCATTTCACACTTTCCTAAGCTCATGACTGTATACCGCACACCGAGTAAGATTGCTGTTGCAGAAACTGAATTCGATGGATCACGGCCGATATGTGAATTGTATACTACACTCAAAGAATTCTAATTATTTTATTCATTAAAACAATTTAATTATTTTTATAGCTGAAAAACACCATAGTTTTTATGAACCTTGCACATATAATGCATCTACTTTCTATATACCTTGTATTTCTTTACCCAATAAAAGGTATAAGTCATGCTTCATGACTGAAGGTTATAAGGCTTGACTTATAGTTTTTATGTTTTCTGGAATTAAAAGAAACAGCGTTCAATATGGCGCTCGAAAATTTTGAATCCATGGTGTTGGATGAGTTACAGCTGCGAGAAGAAATTTTGCGAAGCTTATAAGGTAAGTTATGCAAAGAAAAATCATATACTATTATCCTCAACTGAGACTAATGGCATCCTATGGTATTTGGTTTTTTTTACAGACAACGGCATCGACTCACAAAGGCTCTCAGTAATAAGTAAAGACGAACTAGGAAGAATTGGTATATTGCCGAACTTTTCAACCAACTCACTTTTTGGAGACATAATAAGGTGAGAGCAAAATATGCTTGTTTTCACTAACAAATAATAACGCTCTACTATTTTTGCAGGGTTTTCAATTACTTGGATTTGAAGAAGTTAATTTTGAAGACAGCCAAACATCGGAGTCCACCGAACGCGAAGAATTACTCGCTGATGTTGAGCAAGACAAGTGTGGAGTACTGCATTCAGAAGTTCCAGTCAAACCGGAGGAGGAGAATTGTGAAACACTGGAAATACTATATTCGGAAGTCTACCAGTCTCCTGTCAAATTGGATCGGAAGGGAAATCTAAAAACAAAGAACGGTGTATTTCCGTAAAAAGCATGATTTCAACACAATGAATCTTTAAATTTGTTCTGCAGAATGAGGGTTGTTGTACGAATACTTGTAATAATATACTAATAATGTACTTTATATAAAAAAGTGTTTCGATTGAAAACGGATATGGATAAAAGAAAGCCAATTCCAATACTACCATGGATAATCTATATTATTTAATATTGTTTGTGAGACTCATAATATTAATATTCTTTATAATATAATATAAATGAATTGCTTCAATGAGAAATCTTTGGCGTCTAATAAAGAGTATGTTTGATTGTACATGAAATGTATAAGTTTATGTTATGAAATTATTTTGACATGACTTATACACTTCATATGTATTAATTTTAAGCTTTATGGGAATATATCCATTGCAAAAATCTATGTTGTGTGTGTGTGTGTGTGTACAATCTAACCCCCACTGTCCGGCAGTGTTATTATGGAAGAAAACTGCTTTTTATTACCCTTAAATTAAAGCAGGTTTAGTCCGGGAGTTAGAAGGTGTTAGCTCTATTGCAGCTCCAGTGACCCATTTCAGAATGCCTGGTAATTCACGACCACTCCGAGGTCACTTTTACTTACAATAAGCCCCGTATGTTCACTCTACCTTTATCAAATGGATAATGGTATCATAAACACACTTCCAGATTCAAAAAATATTATTTCCAAATCTGGCACGTATATAGTTTTGAAATTTGTTCAACTGTATTAAATCGATTTGACTGGACATTTCTTATCAATTTTGTTTCGAATACCTCTTGATTCATCTGCTGGCAGCACTTACTGGCCCTTACCGGCGACCAACTCATCTGCCCGCAAATGCAATCGAGATATGTATAAGAACAATCTTCAACTGGAACGTACTCACCAAATCAATACATCCGGGAGCAAATTCCCGATGCTTATTTTTCTTTCGCAAACCCGTCGTCGTCGAACGGCAAAAAAAGGACACTCGGTGAGCAATTTTGTGACACGGAATTTTCACTGAACATAAACCGCGAATTCACGAATTTCACCACAACCAACTGCGAAACACGTTCAGAAGCACTTTTGGTACAATTTCGATCAATTTCTTTCGAAAACACAACAAAAAAAGCATGCCGTGGTGGGGTCAAAACTTGAGCATCTAAATATAAATATAAATCATAATATGTAAAATACTGTGGTAGCCACAGCATAGCTCTGTCAAAACTGTAGGGAAAACCGTTACTTCAGAATAGGTCTATTTACGCAATTGCCCTATTATGGAAACACCGGACGTTTTAATAACGAAATTCAGGATACGTTTCTCCTATCCATTGCAAAAATCTATGTTGTTTGCTTAATACATTCAATATGAATTTTTTTTTCGTGTACCGAGGACCCCACGAGAAGTAACGTTTTCGGATACAGTGAAAAAGCTGAATCAAATATTCGGACACCAAGCATGTGTGCTTTTCCGTGGTTTCGAGTGTTTTCAGTGGAACTTTGACGATTTTGTCACCAATGCCAGTGCTGTGAACAAATCCTGTGAAGACTTAGGGTGCCGGTGGTTCAATCCCAGTCGGCGCCAGTGGGATTTTCTGAGATATAAAATCTCTGATCACGCGAAGTAAAACCGTTCGTCCCCGGTTCATGTGTTGATGGGTCGATAGGTGGTAGGATCCAGGTGTGGGAGCTGCCTCCTTGGCGTCGGTTGCATTGTGATACAGTACGGAAACAAATCAAGGAAAAAATCCTGTGAAGATTGCAACGTGAACACCATTACTGCTGATCTTTGTCGCTGGGCTGCACTCGGAAAAACAAAGAAATCGAACGAGATTTCTAGCTAAGATGAAAAGCGTAACTGCGGTGGATCCAATTACGCTGAAGAAGTTGTTGTTGGAGTGTCAGCAAATGTATAACCTTAAACACGACACCTCTGTTATTGAGAATCATTAAGCTGCCGTGTATACTGTGTGTGATGCTGTTCGATATAACAAAAAACAGACAGAAATCGGAATCACAATTGGACACTGGAGAAACATAATGCATCGAAGGAAGTAAAACATTGAAATTTGTATCAAAGATTTACCGGTAGAGATACAAATCGATTGCTGTTCGTAACCACACGAGTGTTTCTGAGGAGTCACTAACACAGCCAACATGTCGAACGAATCTAAAAATGGCTACATCCACAACCGCTGAATTCCGAGTTCGAGTGCCAGGTCACGTTGACGGGAGTGACCTAGCGATCGTTTTCCCTTTGACATCAGTGAAAGGCTTCAACGTTATTGAAAGTGATCTCATGGATGCGTTCAGCTTAATTCGTTTTGCAAACTGATTACAGAAGTAGGAGATTCGGAGTTGTATTGTCATGCTTTGATGGCAACGTATCAATGCGGTGCTCGAAGCAAACAAGTTCCCTCTTCCAACTCCCGACGACATTTTCGCAAAGCTTGGCGATAGTCAGTTGTACAGTGTGCTGAACCTTTCGAATGCATATCTGCAGATGGAGGGCAGGATGATTCCCAGAAGTTGTTGACAGTGAATCAACTCCTGAAGCTTTCCAAAAAGTTATTTGTTTGGAGATTTGGAAGGAACAAAATCGGGTGACTTTATTGTGGGTAAAACGCAAGCTGAGTATAAAGGAAGTGAATACGGTTTTCGGCTCAAGATTATATATGAGTCAAGTGAAATATGTGCCTGCGCCGGTGGTGTAGTGGTAAGTGTGACTGCTTTCTAACACCCCGATGGGTCTGGGTTCAATCCCAGCCGAGGTTGGTAGGATTTTTCTGAGGCATAACAATCTCTGGTCACGTCTTCCTTCGGAAGGGAAGTAAAGCCGTTGGTCCCGGCCCATGTATGTTGAATGGGTGCGATATCCTACGCAGGTGGGGAAGCTGCCTTCCTGCACATTCGATTGCCGTCAATGGATGGCAATCGATGTCCGTCGGTGATTGGCACTAGATTGCGGAACAGAGATCGACGTTAAATAAAAGAAAGAAAAAAAAAAAGTGAAATATTTGGGGCATATTATCGACTTCGATGGCATTCAAACAGAGAAGGTATCGTCAATTTTGCCTCCCCCCAGGAATGTCACGGATCTAGGTACTTTCTTGGAATCAGTGCATGCATGCGAAGCACCAACTGTGTAAACCTTTGGACCAGCTACTCCTGAAGGACAGGTAGTGGGACTGAACAGAAGAATGTCAACGATATGAGGTTCAAAGAACTGTTGAAGTCTGACCTGATGTTTACACACTACTCAACTGGAGCCAGTGCTGGTATCTGGGCTGGTTTATCCGACGGGTTCGGTTCGGGTATGTATGTATGTAAAAAAACAAATTTTCGAATTCGGGTTCGTTACATCTTATCTAATAGAGAAAATAATAATTTTCTAATACAAATCACGCAAAACACCACAAATGATCATGAAAAAAGTAAAAGTGGCAATTAAATTTTAGATGGTTAGGAACGGGTAGGGGTATTCAAAAAACTAAATTTTATGGTTCGATTCGGGTACGGTTTCTTGAAAATGCTATCAAGATATCATCCGATGGAAGGAATGAAAGTGACAAGAAGGCTAGGGCTGCCGTTGTGAGTTTGTGTAGTATTTGGAGATCGAATGCTGAGCTCCATCGTCGATGTCATCAGAAGCCGATATCAAATGAAATTCGAGAACAGAAGTGAATGTTGGTTGGTATTACACTACGATGTACAAGTACAATGTACAAGTAAGCACTGGATTGGAACCCAGCAGGACATTGCAGCAGAGGCAGGCCCCAAAGCTCATTTCAGCGGAGCCTCAACAAAGAAACACAGCAAAAAATAACTTCAATCATGTCGAGAATCTCATGTAATTTTAGGTAATTGCAGTAAAAGCAGCGTAATATCAGTTCATGCACTGTATTAATGATAGTTTTGTCCTTTTTGGCAAATAATATCAAACCATATTTTTGACACGATTGAAGTGCATCCACTTTGATGTGATATCAAAGTATTGTTTTACTGTGAACCAAGACAGTTGACACGAATTTGACCTTTGCCCAGGAACGCAATGCCAATCAAGCGCTCATAACAGGAGCTTTCTACGTTTGTCCTCTGCTCCACAGAAGATTCCCAGGATACTTTAATTACTTACAACAGTAACTAATGTCATAAATATCAGATTTGAGGAAAAACTAGCTGTTAGACAGAAGATTCAGTTGTCCTTACAACAACGTATTAAATCCGGATTCTATTTGCTATATGCTGCGTTACTATATATCTGAAAGGAGAAAGAATAAATCAAAATTAATGATAAGTCTGAGAATAATTCCGTTTATAAATCTTTATTAGTTCCTGGTGTATGATAACCTCAAAATACTGAGCTCAATACAATTTTTATTCCGATTTTCAATTAGCATAATTCTTTACATATATTGCATATTAGTCGCTATCAATATCATTATCGTTTAAAATCTAATATCACCTTAGAAGGGTTAGGCCTGACGTTAAATTTGCTTAATGGGTAAGCATTATTGTTTTCTATGATAAGCGCTTACAACTTATTGATGCTAACTCCATTTCACCTATTCACTGGTCAGCTCGCCTCTGTTGGCTTTTGCTTACGAATTCAATCATATTTGGTTTTAGCCGTTGTATGCCAGTAATCGCCGCTAAAACGTCTTCGTCATAAATCCTGCAATAAGAGATTTCCGTTTCTTAACCTTTTGAATTGAAAATTCCAGCTAACGGTTGTACTCACGGTAATACATAAGCCTCGTTTTCTAGAATACCTTCCAATGGGGGATTCCAAAAGTCTCTATCGGAAAGGCATTCCTTTGAAAGGCACAAACGGTCGAGCAGCACATCCTCATTCCAAAAAGTAATATCACTAAAAAATTCGGCTTCCGCAGATGTCACGTAGTCATCCTCTATAAACATCCCTTGTTCTGAGCAATGCGATGCCTCCGAAGCTTGTTCGTCATCCAGATGGTTGCGCATTGAACTTTCCCAATCAATTTCATAATGTTCCAGAAGGCGGTCCAAAGGGTCCATTACATTATATTGACGCAAGATGTCATTGTAATCATCGTCTTGGAAACCATCACCGTCCTCATCTTCAAGATATGTAACGAAATGTATATTTTCATCCACCGTATCACCTGAAGAACTGAAAATTATGTATTTAGTTTAAAAATAATGTATACTATTTTCATTTCAATGATGAAATGGCTATTGAATGTAAGCTATCATAATATGATCTCAAAAACTGTTTTTGTATTTGAAGTAATACTTACTTTAAATCTATGTTGTTGCCCTCAACTTGCTTTTCAATAAATATCCACGAATTTTCATGTATCATTTTGAAAGGTTCCTGAAACAAGCAAAAGTCATTTAATATGTTTTACAAAGTTACATTTGGCCAACAATCATGTTTTACAAAAACCAATCAATTTATTATGAATCAAAGGGGTGATTATTGTCATGAAAATCAGCCCTTTCGACTTATATACCCTAACCCTACCCTAATACACAAACACCATAAACGAATGGTAACCCGGATGGTAGAACCATCCCACAAATGGTTAGGATGATACCCCGAACACTTCGTTAAGCTCTTTCTTATGGTTATTTTAATTAGGGTAGCCCACTTAATTCAAAGCTTTCGTTAGTTTGACTGATCTGTAAAAGCTGGTTGAGATCATTATCAAAATCGTTTAGCAACTATGCAAATTATTCGTTCATAAGCCCCTTAAAAGGAATCAGCACTGTCATAAATGACGTTTGACTTCGGTTTAGGTGGGCAACTATCGGGAGCCCCACTAAAACGTAGCCCACTTAAAGATAGCGCAACTACAAAAATTCGAATGTCACACCATTCACACCATGTTCACACCACTAGAAAACTACGTGAAATCGAGCGTTAAACAGAGAGAGCTGAGACGATGAACAGATGCAGTAGAATTAGGACATGGTGAAGAATGCTAGATGGACCTAAGGCTAATACTGAAACTCTAGACCTGGGTGAACAGAAAGCATGAAGAGGTAAACTTTCACTTGACATAATTCCTATCTGGTTACGGTCGCTTCAGAAAGTACATACAGCGTATTGGAGATGCAAGGTTTTCCCTCTGCCCAGAGTGTAATAATGTGGATTACACATCAGAGCACGTGGTCTTTGACTGCCTAAGATTTGAGCCAGTGGGTAGAGAGGTGCCAAATAAATATTGTCAGAGCAGCAGTGAAGGTGTTGAGAGGATCAGAGCAGCGGTTAGCTGGGGCAAAGATTGAGATGAGATGAGATGAAGATTCTCGGCGCGAAGATTTTGAACGTATTAAGAACTGACCCGGAATATGGCCGTATGTGGCCAGTGTGGTCTTGGGCACTTCAAATGACTATCATTTAACTGGTTTTTGAATTCTCATGTTAATTGATGTGTCACATTATGAGTTTTATTCGTTTCAGGTTGGATTTAGTCAAACCGGAAAATGCTCCGGCCATATCTCCGGAGCCAGATGCGCGATTTCAAAAATATGGGCGTTCTAAGAGACTTTCATTTGGTGGTTATTGTCCGGATCTTGTTCCGTCCATATCTCAGGATCCAATTGACAGATTTTAAAAATATTTTGCCAATAAACACGTCCTAATATTAATAAATTATTAATATATTATTGAGCTGAGTTGATTAGTATATGATGTAAGCGGTATGTATATCCATCTTTGTAAGAAGGGTAAAAACACACACGCATGAATTCATGTTATACTCACCATTTCACTTAAGTCGTTGCAATATTCTTCTTGATTGACTATGATCCATGAATCGTCGTAGCATAATTCATCCGAGGTCTGAAAACAGATTTTTGATTTTATTATGTAATTCAATGTCAAAATCCAAAATATTTCTTGCAATAGGGGAAATAAACCAGTTAGGGGCCATGTATTAGGAGCGGTACACAACTTACAAAACGACGAAAATCCGGGTTTTGGACACCCTCTCCCTCTATGTAACAATGCCTTCTAAAATTGCGCATAGGACTGTTCATAAACTACGTATACCGAGACGTTTACGAACCTCCGTTCTCCCGCGCATACAATCGTCCGTACAATCTTAGACATACCGTAGGCGCTCGTAGAATAAAAACAAGAGATCCCAAATGAGAGCCTTGGTGGACACCTGAATTGGATTCGATTTCTATTACAATTTATTATGATTTGGCGGTGATAAGTTAAGTATGATCTAAGCCATTTCAGTAGTCCATATTAGAAACCTCGTAGAAACGATTACAGCAGACATTCAGTGGTGTCGTGAACTGGTCGAGGTTTCAAGCCTCTTCCATGATTCACGTCAAAGGCGATGCTGAATTATCCAGAGCTGAAAATCAGCAACTATCCGCTTTGAAAATCGTTTACAGAATGAAGAGTCAACCTGAACGAACTCGATGTACCAGTACACACCTCATGTCGCACTCTTCCAACCCAAAGCCTCATACAAATTATTCGTATAATTTCGCTCACTTCGCATCTTATGCTCTCTTCGTTTCGAAGCTGAACATCGATTCTCATAACACGAATTATATTCGTGTATATGGAGCTTTCCGAAGCTCAAGTTCAATCAACCTCAGACCTCAGCGCATATGGAAGAATCAAAGTGGCGATTGACTCACAGATGGCAAGTGGGCGAAAATGGTAATGACATTTTTTTTGCGGATTATCATTTTTGCAATTGCGGATCTTAAAACTAGGTGTCGCATGACCAGTTTTGGATTTGCTTTGATTCGCCACTCCAAATGAAGGTTAATCAAATTTTCATTCAATTACTACAAGTTGGTTGTTCATTCCATAGGCAGGGCGGTGATTCGATCGGCGGAAGAACTCAGGATGACGCGTCACTCAAAACAGTGTGTTAAAGCGGAGTTTTCCAAGTATGTTCGCACATTCGTTGTCGTCTGTCAGGACATCAAAGACGAGCATACGATGAAGAAAAACTCGTTCCACATACTGTGTTACGTTGCATAATATTTGTTATCATTTTGCTCATTAAAATTCATTTTGTCTAGCTAAAGAAAATGATCAGTAATAAATAACTGAAAAGTTCAACCGTCAAAACACCGTCGCCTTGCCATGAATTCGTATCGCCGGTGCGAATTCCTTGGCTCAGTCGGTAAAGGCGCAGCTACAAAGCAAGACTATGATGGAGGTGGCTGAGTTCGATTTGAGTTGGAAAATTTCTCGACTTCTCTGAGCATAAAGTATGATTGTACTTGCCACACAATTATACTAAAGCAAAAATGGTACAGACATCGAAAGCTCTCTATTAATAACTGTGGAAGTGTATCTAGAACATAACGAAAAACTTGATTGACGAACATCTGCCTTCTATCGTTGAATGGCTGCCTTTCAAACATGTTCTCCATCCCAGCAGGTGTTCCGCATGGAAGTCTGTTGGGCCCTTTGCTTCATAGCATCTACACTTCTGACATTCCTCCCCTCGGAGATGGTTGCGCGTTTTTCCTGATACCGCAATATCCGTCAAGGGTAGAATGCCTCGCGAAATAACAAACAAGCTCCAACGATGCCTTGACGCCTTTGCTGATTATTCCACCACGTGGAAAATTAAAATCAATGCTTCCAAAACACAAACAATCATGTTCCTTCATCGACAATCACCCAAACTAAAACCGGCTCCCTCTTGTAATGTAATCATGGATGGCGCAAGGGTTGAGTGGTCCGCCGAAGTAACCTATCTCGGTATGTTGTTTGACGAAAAGCTCCTATTCCGCTCGCATGTGGAGAAAACCGTAGTCAAGTGTTCCGCCAAGTGAGGTCTAGAAAATTGCAGGCGACGGTTGGCATACCGCAGAGGCCAGGAAATTGTGGACCAATTTAATGTGTTAAACGTTGTTTCTCTTATTGAAAGACGCCGGAAGCTCTGATTATAATCATAAAAGTTGTTACCACTGTTTCAAAATTCTGACTTATATTCTTAAAAGCTAGTCTAATATTTAAATTATATACCTCATACATGTCATTAAATAGTCTACAACATCTATCCAGAGGATTGTTATATCCATATGCAGTGTGGTGCCGGGGAGTCTACAAAAAGTAAATGTTGCTGATAAACGCGTGGATGTTGACGATCTGAAGCATACTACTGCAATCAATATGATTACTCAGCACATCATAAACGAACATCCTCTGCGGTAAACTAAGCCGGCTCGACAAAGATTCAAGTACAATCAGTGCGCATCTATGTTCGTATGGAGGCAGATGTTCCAGATTGGTTCACAGAAACCGCCGTAATTCAGCTTTAACGAAACTTTTTTGTATTCTCTAGATGCGTGATACATGTACACACTAATCCAGGCCTCCGGCGTTCGGTAAATTTTGAACTACAGAACTGTTCGGTAAAAGTTAAAAAATCAGTGTAAAATCCAAATATGAGAAAATTTATCCCGATCTTGTACAGCATTTGTTCAGTTTACCCCATTTATTGATGAAAAATAAAATTTATGAATTTTCTTGGTTTCTCACGTGTAACGGTCATTTGAAAATTTTACCGACTTGTTCTGCTGTTCAAAAACCCGGTAAATTCCTACCGACTTCGGTGATCTGAATTAAGTGTGTACAGTATGATACGGAGCCCAAATTTTCACTTCATATTGAAGCACGCTACAAACCAGAGAACAGTACAATTGTTTCATGCGTGCACGTCGGCGAATTGTGCTGTATTGTGACGCAGGAATCCAAGCACAGAATTTGCCTTTGCAATTTTCATGAATATGTCCTCGTTGAACCATCTAAGATAAGCCGAAGATCCATAATAATGCTTATTCTATGATTGATCGAGTACTCGAATCTTATCGGTGATTGACCACGGCTGAAGGTAATAATTTTGCACTTGGCTGCGTTGGCTACCATTTCGTTCGTTTGACTCCACAATGTCAATCGCTCGATATCGGTTTGAAGTGCGCAACAATCAACGATCGACTTGATCACACGGCAAAGTTTCAAATCATCTGCATATAATGGCTTACAGAACCTTAAGTGGTTGCACACGTCATTTATGAACAAAGCGAATATGAGAGGTTGCAGGTTGAGAAACACCTGATGGTATATTGAACGAGGGCTTTGTGGATAGCGTCATGACAGAAATAGAGCTGCTGCCGACGACAAATATCAAAGCTGAGTAAGTTATATTGCTGCGGTGGTGGAGCCTGATCGACTTCGTAGACGGTTCGGAAGAAGGCAGCAAAGAGGTTTGCAGAAATAGCAGCGTCGGAGGAGCTTTGGCTATAATATGTGACGTCCACTGAAATACGAGCTGAAACTTTCCGAGAGTTAACAAATGTCCAGAAAGACGATGGATTTTCCTTAAATCTATTCTGCAGGTTGTCAATGTATTCTAGAAAGCGAACTTCGTGCAAACCAGCGTATTCGGCTTCTGCTCCATACAACGGCTTCCATGTGAAGGCAGGTTCGCTCCAGTTTAGGGTTCATATTTCGCATATGCGTTTGAATTCATTCGTCCCAATTGATGTGAACTGCATGGTACGGGGCCTAAACTTACACCTCATATGCTAAGACGCGCACAAGCAAGCAATACAGCGTCTTTAGGCTGTAGCACACCGACTGCCTCTCAGTCCAAAGGGCCTGTGTTCAATTCCGGTATTCGTGAACAAAAAATCACGATAACCTGAACTGCTAGTTCATTTGAATTCATGACTTTGTTCCCGTAAACGTAACGTGTCGAGCAAATCACGTTTTCATGAAATAAATCCCAAATCCATGAACTTGGTTCACGCCTGTTTTGCTCGACTAACGATTTCGTAACGCTACAGAAAACACAAAATAAAATCATGACTTCGTGATTCATGAACCCATAAATGTGATTTTTGTTCCTGAAATAGAGCACAGCTGTCTGTTACCGCGAGGGAATTAATTTAAAACCAAAACCATAAGATACCTACATAGTTGCATCTCGTATGCATAGCCCTAGCTGACGTTGATACCAAGGCCAAGAATATGAAATGAAAAGTAGGGCAAAAGGAGCGAGAGCTCGTTTTACATAATCTAACTGCAGTATTTACTTAGGAACGTTTCTGCGTTCAAGTAGGATAAACACGCCCACGCATGGCATGCTTGCGCATCTAGGTTACGTTTAGCTTTCCCTCTCTGTTTATCCTTAACGAAGGATATAATTATAATGTTTAAACGTTACAAATTTCTCATTCTTATTTGTAGAGCCATATTAGATCTGAGTTACGAAAATAAATAAACTTACAAGAAATCTGAGAAATCCCAGATCTGAGAGGGCATAGTATATAAGGCCTAAACAACACAAATTTACCCTTTCAAGGGCGATCGGAATCCTAGCTAATTAGAATAGGCAAATTAGGTTAAAGTTCGGTATTGAAAGGAATATGTTAAACCCTGGACAAATCATGTAAAAGTTTTACATAATTATAAGTTGCTAATGCAACACGTAGCCGTAAGATCACTTTGTACAATTTTGTTGAATAAAATTAAGTTTCGTAGGTTACTCCAGATTCTTCTCTTTTTGAATCCGAAAGAACTTTCGGCCTAGAAGTGAAAACTTCTCTCCTTAATCGGAGAAAAAAGTAGCTCCTAGAAGAACTCTTGGCTTGGAAGTGAAAACTTCTCTCCTTAACCGGAGAAAAAAGTAGCTCCTAGAATCGAGGAACAGTGTCTGACCTACACACTTAGATTTTTTTGCCGAGATGGGCACCACCGAGCAGCTCGGTATTTTATTTTACTGGAAATTCAGTAAAAAATATGTTTGTTAGCTGAGATCTCGGCAAAATTCCCGTTTGTTAGCTGAATCTCGGCAAGTTTTTCACTGAGATCCAGCAAAATAAAATGCCGAGCTGCTCGGTGGTGCCCATCTCGGCGAAAAAATCTAAGTGTGTAGTAAGCGAAAGACTCTCCCTAACCGGAGAAGAAAGTAGCTTTTGGCGGCGACAGCTGTCATTTTCAATTGTTGTCGAATTTACAGAATGCTCGGATCCGTCGAGAATAGTGTGTTGGTTATTGTGTGAATGCAGCTGAGCCGTATCATCCCAATGGTGGTCCGATATAATAAGGTGATTCAAGAGACGTTTCTCAGTGGAACTGACAGCTCCGTAGCAGAAATCAAGAGTGCGTGAGTGATTTTATGTTAATGGTGCTGAATGTAAATATAAACAAAGCAGAAATTATATGAGATTTTGTGACAAGCAATGCATTAGGTATAAGAAAAACGTCACGATAGGGGGGGGTAAATTTCTCCTAGATTTAGCGTGACATAATTAATGCATGGGCCCTTTTGAAAAAAAATCAAATCCCTTAGTTTGGATTTGTTTTACCTATTATAGTGGAAACATACCCAAAGTCTAAATTACCTTGGTAATTGGCTTGTAGAAAATTTCTCAACAATTTTAAAAGAATTATCATCGTATTTTTTTCAAAACTCTTTCAGGCTTCCAGTCTCTTTAAATTTCTTACATCACACTCAAATTCCATGGAATTTTGATCAGAGCTAATTTGTGTACTAATGTTAAACGACTTTTAGACAAATTAATATTTGTTTAGTAAAATTTGAAGATACTGAGAAGCAAAGCACACAGCTATATTTTTGTTCTCCTGAAAAGGCCCTTAGATGTATTTGATTCCCCTTGAAATTCTCCTCGGAATTGCCTTGAAACTTTTTCGAGAATTCTCTTCAAATCATATCTAGAATTGCTTCTCATAGAACATGAAAGTGTGTTTTAAACTCTTCTCAATTCATTCAGAGTCACTCTAAGAATTCAATTCACTTGGAATTCTTCTTGGAATTTCCAAGAAACTTTGTTCTAAATTTCCTTGGTATACTCTGCAGTAATTCTATGAAGTTATCCTCAGAAATCCGTATAAATTATTTGAAGATTTTTTTTCTCAAGAAGATGGTCTACGATACGTTTAGGATCTAGATGCGATAAATGAAAGAAGATTAATTCACTATTCATGAATCTTCTGTTTGAGATTTAGACGTGATACCTTCTTCAACGTATACGAAATTGCGATCAGCAGTCAAGATCCGTACGTATAACAGAGGGATGTGACTCTATCTTCGATGCAGAAATGATTTCGTTTTACGGTGCTAAGCTGCGTTTACGCTGAGTAGAAGATTAAAGAAAATTTTACCAATTTTCTGCAAAAAGATGAAACGTGATGGAAGTAGATGTAAAAAATGAAAGTAGATTTTTCGTAGATTGATTTGCTAGCCTGAAATATTTCGAGCATCTAGGATTGAGATTTAGATTTGTCGTACCCCCTGCATTTAACGATCTGCAACTAATATTGGAAAACTGTTCGCGATATTGGTGCTAAGTTTAATACAGAAAGTAACGATTCTTTGAATTCACATACGATGCCTTTATATCAATCGCTAGGGTCAGATCGGCATTTTTAGGGTTTTACTTCGAGTTATACGTTTCCAAGATTTTTGCTTCTGGGATGTCTTACAACGTTTCTTTCAATTTCATTGTGATGTGTAACCTCTCCCATCAACAAAGTGTAACAAATTGCAAAACTTTTCACCTTTACCTTGCCACGAATGAATACTTACTTCATTTTCCTCAGCTGCTGCTTCCGAATGTGTTCTTGAATCAGTATATGCTACCATTGAAGATTTTCTTTGCATCTGGTGACACGATCGAAACCGTCTCATTTTTTCAAAAGTCTTATGATACTGCCATAATACACCCCAAAAGAGATTGTAGAAGACAAAACAAATGAATCTGTATAATGACAATAGGAAATCTATGCGCCCAAAACAATCACACACAGCGTGTTCGTAATCACCACCGATACTCTCATCGAAAGATGTTTTTAAAGGATCCGTATTTGCGTTGTTCACAATCCTTCTTTTCGAAACTACTGTTTCTCGTGTTTCACTCATTATGATTATTTTCAGTTATTGTCCTTGAGTGGACCACTTCCAAACAGCTGTTATCTTACCGATGCATCGATCGTAACTGATCATGTATGGATACATTCCACTCAAAGTGAAAGCGAAAACCGATCTTTCTATTGTTGTTTATTATTCTGTTTTGCTTTTAATGTCCGTTGTACCTGTAGTCCATCTTCTATAGCAAAAAAAGTAAACTCATGCAGAAAATTCTGTTTTTTTTTTCGCTCGGAACCATCCATTAAGTACGTCACGCTCTAGGAAGGAACGGGGGGTTTACAAATATGTGACAAGCAATGTATTAGGTATAGGAAATACGTGACCAAAGGGGTGGAGGGTGTCGATTTTCATCAAATTTAGTGTGACGTACTTAATGCATGCTCCCTTATATTATTACCTGATAACAAATGTGTCGATGAATCTTCGGAGGCGAACCAGCCTCAGGCTGAAAGCCTTCCTAATAAAGAAAACTTAACTTAACTTGATGAATCTTAATAATTATTGTGGGTAGTATTATTTTAACTTGGGTGGGGGTAGCTTTGCATAAAACATTTCTAGTTGTAAGTTTAGCATTTTGAAACAATCCAATATTCCTTCCAAATTACAGAATTACTCGTGCAGACCCGATTGAATAATGATAAACAGAAAAACACTGGGCTTTGGTTGAAAGTATGAAGTATCTACTTGTGTGGTTTGCCATAGAAAGCTCTTAATTAACTCTTTCCCGCTCATGGTTACTCTGATGCACCACGCCTTTTTAACATTTTATGCAATGGCTCTATGAAAGTTCAACCGATTTTTGTGAAACTATTGCCTACTAAAAAAAAAAAAAAACAAGTGAATATCTTAAGACACTTAAGAGACATTTGTTTTCAAAGCTTAAATATTTTACCAAAACGCCCTGGGCGGGAAAGAGTTTGTGAACATTTCAACAGGCTGACTCTACTTTTGTAAATAATGACTTCAACCGCCAAAGTATCGTAAATAAATGTTCACTCTAGCAAACAATTTATACCAACCAGTAGAGGTTCCCTACCAGGCAATGTTGTTAGTTTGAGTATATGAGCTTATAGGTTATTGTTTGCCAAAGCAGTTCCGTCCTATTGCATGATGAAAATCTGTGAACGTGGCCAAAGAACAGCGATATGTTTAGTTTTAGATTTAATGGGTAAAGAATCAGTCAAAAAACTACATTAATCGGTGAAAAATAGATCCATGCAGGCAGGATGTTTCGTTTGATGTTTTAGTTTGAAAGTTAATTATGTGAAGTAAAAACTATTCTATATTGAGGAAATTTATTCGATTTCAGAGCGAATGTCAATCACAATCTTACATAGACTTACATGATTAAACTATTTCCTAAACAAAAGTTAAACCCGAGGAACTCAAATGCGTGATCACAAATTAACCAAAAAAAGTTGGTAAGCTATGTGTATGAGTCTTTTACGAAATCATTTCACCCCGAACGTACTCTTATGTGTGATGTATTTGAAGCGTGACTTATTTTAGTGCTGCAATTTTTGATCGATTATTTTTTTAATATACATCTCGTGTATGCTCTCGACTGCCGTTGCCAGCAGTCCATTTTCATTCAGAAACGAATCCTTGTCGCTGTATGCGATATCCTGATTCTTCAGGTTCGTCATTTTACCTCCTATGGCAGCAAGGATAGCATTTCCTGCACATATGTCCCATTTTTTTATTGCCGTAGAGTGGAGGTACGCAGTTGCATTGTTATGCAGTACCTGCAAGACCTTGTAGCCTACGGATTAAAGAACATGAAAATTAAAGATGAAAAGAAGTGAAACAACGATCCGTTACCGCTCGGAACAAACCAATCAACTAACCTGCTCCTCCTGCCGGGATAATATGTAAATTTTCACCAAAAACCTCCTTGGCTATGCTCTTCACTTCGCCACTATGAGATCGGGAAATAATAACAACAGGATGCTTAACATCCTCGTCCTACGATATAGAAGAAGAATGCATGGATAAGAAAAGCAATTTCAAAAGCGCCCGTTTTCTAAATATTTAGCTTACAGCCCTAATCATCCTCGCATACCTACCCTCTTAATAAAGGTCAGTGGTTCGGATACGGCCTTATTGGTCCAGGCCCAAACAGTTTTCTTCGTGAAGGGGTTGTGAATTACGCCGATCGTTGGAACGCCTTTTATCGCCACGCACACCATTGTTGTGACGTACTGGAACAGGTTCTCTGCAAGTCAAAGGTAGCAGAATTTGAATTAATTTTCTGGTGGACTCTTTAGAACACAACAACGGCTACTACTACGCACACCAATGTAGGCCTTCGCTGTTCGGTTTTTTTTTAAACTACGGAAGTGTTCGGTAAAAGTTAAAAGTTGAAAATCAAAAACTAGACAATGTATTCCGACTTGTTCAAACTTTGTCAAGTTAACTCCAATTAATGATAGAAATATAATAAAATTTGCCGATTTTATCGATTGAACCATAAATTTACTGACTTCTTTCTGAAGCGCTTTGAGTGAGTTGGTTTATTTCCTTTAAATTCCGTTATAATTGCTTATCTTTTGACAGATACGCGTATTTCGTCTACTACTTGCAGACTTCATCAGTGCCAAGTACTCAACACCACTGTTGTGTTGAGTGTTGTTGAGTACTTGGCACTGATGAAGTCTGCAAGTAGTAGACGAAATACGCGTATCTGTCAAAAGATAAGCAATTATAACGGAATTTAAAGGAAATAAACCAACTCACTCAAAGCGCTTCAGAAAGAAGTCAGTAAATTTTAAATCAATCGATATTTAAAATCGGAATTTAAAAGAAATAAACCAACCCACTCAAAGCTCTTCATAAAGGGATTCCGTTAAAAGGTTCGACAAATTTAAAGAATTGAATTTTTCTGCTGTTCAAAAACCCTGTAAAATTTTACCGACTTTGATGATCTGAATTCAGTGTTTCAAAAATCTAACTAATCAAGATTCGCGAGAAATCGACGGCTAAAGCCATTGTTTACAAATGCAATTACGCCCCTTTGAAATGTTGGCACTGAATTTTTTCTTCATTTGAAACCAAAGTTTTTGAAACTTTGGGAGTTTCTGTTGCAACAAAATTTGGACAACTTACGTTTATAGCTGCCTATTTGCCATTCCAATGCGTAGGCCAGCAAAAGAATTTTCTTAAGGTTGATCTTCAAAAATTTACCCGTCATAGGCAGGCATGGACAATCATTTACATTCATTTCATGCATTCATTTACATTCATTTGCCTCTAACTTTTTTCATCAACAGCATTTCACAAAATGATGTCTAGAGCTTTAGTAGGTTTTGTTATAAGCTGCAACTTTTGTATGTAACTCAAATCTGTATCTCTTATGCATCACGAATTATAGCGGGCAGAACTCGTTACTGTTTTTCAGTGAATGTAAAATACATTCACTGAAAAACAGTAGTGAAAAACAGTAGTGGATTCTGATTTGAGTTACAGGCAAAAGTTGTAGCTAATAACAAAACCTACTAAAGCTCTATACATCATTTTGTGGAATTCTGTTGATGAAAAAAGTTAGGGGTAAATGAATGTAGATGAATGCACGAAATGAATGCAAATGATTTTCCATGCCTGGTCATAGGTCTAAATTCTGGATCAACAATAGAAAAGGGCCCATCAGCATTTGTAAACAAACCGTTCCAAAGCCTTTTACTCACAAAGCTAAGGCTATCCACGCAAACCAACACCATCATTGGATAGGGGAAACTTCTACCTACACGAAGATGGTGTTGGTTTGTGTGGGCGGCCTTCGATTTGTGTGGAATAGTCTTTGAAACGGTTTGTTTACAAATGGTGATGGTCCCTTTTCTATTGTTGATCCAGAAATCTTCATTCTTGGTGATTTTAATGCAAAAAACTGCTCATATTCAAACAGCCCAACATGCTTTTCTTCAGCATGAAATCCCTCAACTATTGATTTGGTATTAAATGATTCATGTCAACGTTGTAGCCAATTGGTTACCCATGCTGATTTCGGTTCTGATCACCTTCCAGTAACTTTTGAAATATCCCAAGAAATAATTTCTAATCCCAACAGCTCTACTTTCAATTACCATAGAGCTGATTGGGAGTAATATCGATCATTTATGGAATATAGCTTTGATCCAAACATACCTTTGCAAACCAAAGACAATTTTAATCATGCTCTTGAATCTCTGACTACTTCTATAGTTGAAGCAAGAGCTGCCTCAGTACCAAAATGCGAGGTTAAATTCGATTCACTTATAATAGACTACGATCTTCAGCTCTTGATCCGTCTTAAAAATGTCCGTAGAAGACAATATCAAAGAACACGCGATTCTGCCATAAAAGTTATCTGGCGGGATTTGCAAAAACAAATTGTGATTCTCTGCCCTGAGGAACAAAACTTTTGAAAATAATGTTTCTAAATTAGACCCAAGTTCCAAACCCTTTTGGAAACTCACAAAAAATTTTGAAAAAACCTCAAAAGCCTATTCCAGCGCATAAAGAAGGTGGTAAAATTTTGATCACAAATACGGAAAAAGCTCAGAAACTTACTAAGCAATTCGAGAGTTCCGATAATTTCAGTTTGGGTCTTACTAGTCCCATTGAGAATCAGGTTGCTCGGGATTATCTGAATATTTTCTCACGGGAAAATATTTTTGATGAATCCTGGGGGACGGATTTGGACGAAGTAAGATCTATAACTAAAAAGTTTCGTAATATGAAAGCTCCAGGTGATGATGGAATTTTATATATCCTCATCAAAAAAACTCCCAGAGCGTACCTTGTATTTCTTGGTCAAATTATTTAACAGATGTTTCCATTTGGCATACTTTCCTGATAAATGGAAAAATGCAAAAGTTGTTCCAATTTTGAAGCCGCATAAAAATCCAGTGAAACTTCTAGCTACCGTCCAATAAGTTTGCTTTCTTCAATAAGTAAACTTTTTGAAACGATAATTTTGAATAGAATGATGCAATATGAACTCGATTTTTGCAGATGAGCAGTTTGGATTTCGCCATGGGCATTCAACTACTCGTCAATTTACCCATTTAATTCGTTCAAACAAATCTGAAGGCTGCTCAACTTGAGTTTCTCTTCTAGACATGGAAAAAGCACTCGACAGTGTTTGGCATGAAGGTTTGATTGCTAAATTGAAAAAGTTTAATTTTCCACTCTATATTATGAAATTACTACAAAATTATTTAACTGGCAGAACTCTGGAGGTAAATTATCAAAATTCCAAGAATGAACGACTACCTGTTAGAGCAGGAGTTCCTCAGGGTGAGCATTATTGGGCCTATATTGTATAACATTTTCACTTCGGACCTCCCTGATTTGCCTCAGGGTTGCCATAAATCATTGTTCGCTGATGACACAAGCAAGAAGTCTTCGTGTTATTTGCAGCAGACTGCAGAAAAGTTTGGATATTTGCTCTTCTTATTTATAAAAATCGAAGATTTCTCCCAATGCTTCCAAAACTCAACTTAAAATATTTCCACATAAGCCTAGAGCTTCCTTTTTGAAAACTAGTAGTAGTCACATTTGGAACAAATAAATAGTATAAAAAAATTATGAGATTACAATGCTTGACGATCCATAAGAACAATAACCGCATTCTTTGCTTCTGAATGTTTGGCTCCCGTTTGACAGTTCACACTGGATCCCAAGTGACAAGCACACTGAGTGAGTCCGCAGTACCCCGCTAGACAATTGTAGTGGCCCAACCAAATAATATAAAGGCTAATACAGAATAAAACCTGAATTTATCCACCTGTGGTTATATCTTACCAATTTAGGGGCCATTCATAAACTACGTAGACAGTATTTGAGTGGTTTTACACTCCCCTTCCCCCTGCGTAGACACTCGTCCATATACTTTTTTTTCACGCCGAACCACCCAATCTAAAGTGTCTATGTGGTTTATGAACAGTCCTTTATTTAAATTCTTACAAAATTGTTCAAGTTCGCATTCTGGGAAGAGATTCAATTTGACGTATCGTTTGAAAAGTTTTGGGCCTGGGATCTCGTTATGATCGCTAATGATCTTATTGGCAACTCAAAGTTGGTTCCCGTGGATAATAGAAATACTATGAAAGTGCTCATGATTTCAAAATTGTCCACGGGGAGGTATACGAGTGCAATCTTAAAATGTTTTTATTTTGTAAATGGAGCATTTCTCTTAATCTGGTTAATCTGGTGATAGAAAAGCTGAAACCTATGTATGCAACTAAAAATGGGAAAAGAAACCAACCAACATTTATTGAGTAGCCCTCAAGTTTTCTACTAACGTATCATTAACCAGATTTTATTGAAATAATTTGTTCGCTAAATAAATGCATTTTAAGATTGCAAAATTTTGAAACCATCTTTTATAGTTAATAGTTGCCAATTATTTAGTACTCATGTGATTTAGGTATTTTGTGTTGGCCAATGGTTAGGGCCCCATTCGTTATGACTACCATTGAACTTGGTTTTGAGTTCTCATGTGATTTGAGATGTCGCATGACGAGATTAGGTCCAGAACAGAGACTGGCCACTTCCTCGGGGCTAACGAAACGTGTCCGGATGCGATTAATGTGGTCCTTGGTACTCGAACTTGGTTTTGATTTTTCATGTGATTTGAGGTGTCACATGATGGTCTTTAGTCCATGTCAGAAACTGACCACTTCCCCCGAACATGTCCGGATGGTAACAATGTTGTCCTGGGCATTCGATATAACTACCATTGTACGTGTTTATTGTATTTTTTTTATTTGCTTTGAGATGTCGCATGATGGGTTTTGGTCCACGTCAGAAACTGGTCACTTCTCCGGGGCATCCGAAGCATGTCCGGATATGATCAATGTTGTCCTGAGCACTCGAAATAACTACCTTTGAACATGTTTTTTTTTTATTTCGCATGTGATTTAAGGTGCCGCATAATGAGTTTTGGTCCATAACAGAAACTGATCACTTCTTCGGGGGTACCAGAAACATGTCCTGGTGTGGCCAATGTGAACCTTGGTACTCGATATGACTAAGGGGCTGTCCATAAACTACGTAGACAGTTTAGGGGGGGGGGGGGTTTGACAATTATCCACGGCCCATACAAATTTTAAATTTTTTGTATGGACAATTGTCTACGCAGGGGGAGGGGGGGGTCAAGAATCCCAAAAAACTGTCTACGTAGTTTATGAACAGGCCCTAACATTGAGCTTGGTTTTGAGTTCTCATGTGATTTGAGATGTCGCGTTATGGGTTTAAGTCCATGTCAGAAACAAAACACAATCGACGGTGTCCATCTCGACTATTGCTTTGGCGAGATTCGGTGCAGTAATAGCGATAATATAGAGTTTGTTTTTGATTCAGGTCCAACCTGGATCGGGTATCAAGATTGGGTCTGCTTGTTGTCTGTTAAACGTCAGTGTGAACGTTTGTGTGTGTATCCAGGCTCGGGTTGTGATTCGCTCTGACAATAAGCTCGGGTTCGCATGCTATCTTGTCATGGCAACTTTTTTAATTTTCAGAATTTATAATTTTTTAGGTACATCATTGCATTCAATAATCAAATAATGGATATCAAAAAATAGACGTGCAATCGATCTAATTCAACAGAAAGATGGGGAATTTTAGGTTTTCTGGTGTATTGTACATTTCCCAAGTATTTAATTTATTTGAAACCTTTTACAATTACTTTCAATGAATTCGACATATTTGCGAAAGTAATAATAATAGAGGTTCACAGTGAATTTTATTCAGATTTTTGCAATATAGCCAATCCAGCGAAAAATTTGCATCTTGTATCAGATAATTTGACAACAGCAGCTTTAAAAGCATGCTGCGGTTGTCAAATGAAATGTTATTTTTTCTCCGTTAACTGGCACTAGTAGCTGAATAGCTAAATTTGCAATTACTCAGCGCTCATTAAGAATGTGTTTAACTCGTACCCCTACACAAGTGGTCAATTAAATTACGCACCTGTGTAGGGATACCAGTTAAACAAATTCTAAATAAGCACCGTTCAATTGCAAAGTTTAGCTATTAATATTGGGTATTTTCCACCAAAGTAGACTCCTGCGCTGAAAATAATTTCTCAGACGAGGGGCAATCAGTAGAAATATAACTGAATTCAAAATGCGTAAAAAATGTTAATTTTCAATTCTATTGTAAAATGTAGCGCTATATTACATTGAAAAGTCAAATTTTGTATCTAACTCGCCTGAGCAAAAACCATGGTGCAAAATGCGCAAAATCAAACTCGTTAAAAAAAAGTCGAAAAATGTCATGGCTTGCTACAAAAGTTTTGCTCTTCATAAATGTGACGTTAAACATAGAAACTGATTGGAAAATGTATGTCGGTCAGGGGTCTCGACTGCATTTTTTGTTTCTATATCATCATGATAAAAAGTTAGGCCCAAAAATCGACCTTTCGATTTTGGTTTTTGACCAACTTTTTATTATGATATAGAAAAAATGTTTAAAAAAACATATTTATTTTAACATAAATCTTATTTAGATTTTTAATCTCATTCTGCGAAAAGCTTCCTTTTCGTGCTTTCGTTGTTTTGTTCTTCTCCGAAATGTATAACTAGTAGTGAAAAATAACCAACCTGTATATTCCTGCGTGGCATCAAGTGGATCGATCCATACCATAACATCTTCGATCCCAACTATTTCATCCGGGACATTGGAGTTTTCGTGTATCACGGTCGGATCAAGATCAAACAATTTTGCATCAGGACAACTCTGCTTTCCTTCGTCCTCTTCTGATATTATTTTCAGCTTGGGGAAAATTCTATGCAATCCACTGGCCATAACGCAGTGCGAACGGAAGTCAGCATCTGTCACCGGATCATTGGCACCCTCTTTTGTTTTGCCTTTGCTTTGCACCTTGAAATCCGCACTCTTGGATACCTCCACCACCTCGAGGCCTCCACGCTGGGCTGCTTGGATCGACCCAATAAGCAACTTCCGCAGGTTTACTTCATTGGGATTTTTATTCAATGCGTAGTTTGAGCTGCGTGATTTTCCGGTTGATACATAATACACGAAAACGAGCAAAAGTGCTGTGATGATTAGTACACCAAATTTATTGATACGAATTGAGCCACCCAAGTTCATTTTGGTTCACTTTTTATATCCCAAAGGTTTAACAATAAATCATTTCAGTGAAAACGGGATGTGTTTATTCTAATTCTATGCAATGTTTTCAGTAAAATTGAACTACTTCAACGTAGACATTTTCACAAGGTTTGTTTTTATCACCTTTCCCTTATGGCTGACGTTTGCGCATAACAAAAGAAACAAATCCAATAGTGTATACGCTTACAGACTGATAGAGGTAAGACTAGCACCAGGATGAACTGTTCTACATAACATACATACATTCAAGCATACATCGTACTCGAACCCTACCCTACCTCACATTGTTGTAGCATAGCTATGCTAGCCAAGTAGTAGTTGCAACAAATGGAAGACCTTTGAAGATGTTGCATTCGATAATCGATAAGCTACATCATTTGTAAGAAAAAGGATCCAAAAGCTCTAATGACGATGCAAAACTTTTGCATCCCTTTTAGAGCATCCGGTCTATTACTGATCCTATAATCACAGAGCTAAATCACATGAAATGATAATCTGAATGATCTTGAATCTGGAAAAAAAATGAAACATTGTCCCCTCCAATTATGAAATGTAATGTAATATCATATGAAAAATTTTCACCTCCAATTATGCAAAGGGGGGACCAAGGTGAACATATCATATGAAAAATTGTCACCTCGAATTATGAAAAGGGGGGACCAAGATGAAAATATCATATAAAAAATTGTTACCTCCAATTATGCCAATTAAATTAAAAAAATTAAATTAAAATTAAAATTAAAATATCCTATTAAATAAAATCTAAATATGATGGAGAAATCTACATTCAAAGCATTTTTTTTTAACATTCCGAGATTAGTCTTTGTCACATGCTTCTTGTGCTACAGAAAGTGGCTAAAGCTTGTTGTTATATAAATTTATATGGCAAAAACAGATTTTTTCGGTGTAGTTTTCAAGACAGACATGTTAGACAAACGCTGGGAAAAAAATTATTTACTAGTTGTTGGATCAGTGGACTGTAACACCTCGTTACCAAACGTTCATGGAGCGGATTTAAGCTTTGGATGTCTTGACCAGTTGAACACTTAACCAACGTAATTTTTAGAATCAGATACCAAACTTCAAGAGTTTCTCTTTACTAGGGGAATTTACGTATTCTCGGCAACCTAAGCAGCGACCTTCTTTCTATAGCCTTTTTCTCTAAGGAACGCACACATATGCAGTATTGGTTTGTTTACAATCTTTTGCTGCCAGCTGCTCTAACAATTTCAGTCGAAAGAATTGTCAAAACCTGTTTTGAAACGCTTTTACAAAGCTCCAATCTTCTCTAGTGAGAGCGAGTATTGTCGGCAACCAGTTTTTCTTCGGCAACCGTTCCATTTGAACTGCATGTAAATCTGCTGTTCTATTATCGGCAGCTCGAAATCAGCTACAATTTGAAGTGCGTGTGTTTAATTTCAAGAAAACCCTGCTAGATTGCTTTTTCTCAGTGGTAAAAATATAGTCAAATTGAAGCTGAAAGCATAAAGAATCGTTTGCATGCATTCAGCGAATTGTTTTCGTAAGAAAATCCAGTGAAAGTAGTGTTTCAATTTGGGTTGCCGAAAATAGTCTGTCATGCCGAAGCCGTCATTTCCCCTATTTCTATTTTCCCTAAATTAATTTAAGTAAAATAACTTCGTTCGCGTCGTTATTCCAAACTTCAATGGTGAACGATCGATTGCCGGCTGGCTGCACTCTCCACACGTCGATTGGTACGCAAAGGTTGGTAGCGCCGCTGTTATTGCGTATGGAAACGAATCGTAGTGGTCTGGGGCTCGGTCGCTTTCATTGCCATAAAACATTCGAGCTGTCACATTGTAGCTCGAACATCCTCCCCCCGGGGAAAACAATAGATTTTCCAGAATAGGTAGTGAGCTAACTTGCTGATTGGGCGCATCAAGATACCCTTCGCCGTGCGCAGCTCCACCACTCGCACTATATGGTCCTTACCTGGGAAATTAGTTTCGATCATTCCAAGTTTCCAGCATAGCGGAGGTAAGTTGTCCTCCTTTATAAGCACCACCATTCCCGGTCTAACGTTCTGTTTCTTCGTTCTCCATTTGCTTCTTGTTTGTAGCTCCATCAAGTACTCTCCGGACCAGCGTTTTCAAAATTCATTCCGAATGTTGGCTCGGGGATTGCTGTCAGTGGGCGATCGATCATAAAATGTCCATTCAACTCTTTCTTAGCTCCTACAAAATTTGTACCGTTATCGGAGAAAAGGAACTCCACGGCGTGATACGAATCGTTGGAGGGTAGCAATAAACGGTTCCGAGGAAAGGTTTTCCACAGCTTAGAAATTGGATACCCATGGTAACCATGCAAACACACAAATGTAACCTTTGGCTGGTACCAACGTGCTTCCACTTTGCTTTATCATTATAGGACCGGCGAAATCGATACCACCTTCTGGAACGCAAGTGATCTGTCACACCGACTAGCCGGGAGATCACCCATAAACTGCTCAAGAGTAACTGGCTTCATCCGGAAACATTACACGCAGGCACGAATTATCTTACGAACTGAAGAACGGGCATTGGTGATCCAGAAGTTTCTACGAAGTGATGCTAGAACTCCCAGAGGACCGGCATGGAAATTCTCTTGATGGATGAATCGAATCAAGCTTTCCACAACTTGATTATGGCTGAGCAGAACTAGCTGGTGCTTATTGTCAAATTACAATATTGAATTCGCCACACGACCTCCAACTCGTAGGAGACCCAAGGGGTTGGTCACTCTACACAGTGTGCCAAAATCAAACTTGGGCACACCCGGGCGTTGTCATTGACGCTGTTTTACACCCGTGGTTACAATTTTTATGATCTTTAAAGTTACTAGCAACACTGAACTTTTTATGCGCTTACGCAGTGTGCATGTGTCAAAATTTGTTATTGATGTTGCCACAATATAATCAAATTATTTTCAAAACAACCGTGAACCTCCACCAAGTCTCGCCATAGATTCTCAAAATCGTTACACCCGTGACGGCAGTCGCATCCACATTTTCTCCCAGACGAAGAACAGTTGACAGCGCTATCATGACCTGACTGAGGTTTCCGGCCATGGCTACACGAACTAGCGATGCAGCTCCCACGGCTGCTTCCAATGCTGCTGCTGGTCCTTCTTTTTTATGAATTTTAGAGGAGATGGACCAGCAGAAGGAACAGCAGCAGCAGCAACTGAAGCAGAAGCAGCATTGGAAGCAGCCGCAGCCGTGGGAGCTGCATCGTTAATTCGTGTAGCCGTGGCCAACGCTGGAAATCTCGGGTCGGCCACGACAAGTAGTGCTTGAGTTTTAATCTGAAAGTCAACAACCAAACAAAAACTATACCATTCGACCATTCGAACATCCATGGTGGTGGCTGCTACACCAACCATTCCATCGTCCAACACATATAATGTTGGAGGATCGTCTTGGCAAAATCTCAAATAGTTCAACAAATTATATGTACTCTCCTGCCTTTTTGCACTTCCAACTAACACAATAAAAAATTATAATTACGAATCATTACATTAACTACACAGAAAAAGGAAAATCCTTTTTTTTCTCAGAAAAAGAAAGCTGATGTGTTTTCGATGTTCTCGTTGCTCCTCGCGCCGGTCATTTTCTTGGAAAAGAAGAAGCACAGCTTCATAATGAACGGGAATTTTGTGCATTTGTGATCGATCGCGCTGTGGTTGCACTTCATGATGGCGTTCACCGCCAGGGCTACGCTCGGGAACTCGACCAATCCGGAGGAGGAAATTTCCGATTTCAGCGGGAACATTCGCACTTGCGACGGGTGGCAGTCCTTGGTGGTGAATGCAGTCAGCAGCAGATCCTCGGACGGCATCCGGGGGGTATTGAAGAAGTGGAGAATGCGATTTTTGCTGGCCTGGGAAGTGATTGTTCTTGGAGGCGCTGTAGACCTTGAAGCTGATCGAATTGTTCGGCAGGGTATATGTTCGGCTGGTTCGACTGCGATGGCGTTTTCCATTAAAACCATGGCGGTACCCTCTTTGGTCTTCAGGAACTTTATTCTGACATTTCCATACAGGAAGAACAGATTGAACAGCTTATCGGTGTTCGCTGTGTTGTTATCAAGTCCGTAGACCATCATCATTGCTGTGCCGGTTGAATGAAGTTGACTGGTCCGTTTCGGGTCAGCGATGCGTCCTTCATCAGTCCGATGTGTGTTCCGGCCGGTGTTTCCAGTTTTCCGACGGATGATACTCGAGCGGTGAGAAATTCGGAGCAAATCCGTTTCCTCTGCCGGCTCCCAGAAGGGCTGGTTGACGTTCGTTGTGCGGGGACGGTCTTGCTCCGAAGATGGATGGTTTTGAAAACATTGAAAATCAAAACAAAAACAAGAGCTGTTAAAATACCGGGTTGCCAAACAAGGCATTATTCACACGCAAACAAAAATCAGTTCAATGACTTCTTGGCACTGCCGATACAGCTGCGGCACACTGAGGTACACTGAGAAAAATAATGGCACAACATAAGTGTGTAGAGTGACCACTCCTTGAGAAGACCATTGTTGTCGATGAAAGGACTTAATGGCCTTAATTTCTTGCTTGACTCACCTGACTGGACCACGGCAACTTCTTCAGCTAGATGTTGGTTCTGTAGAACTCTCAAAATCACCTTCATCGATTCCCTCAGTTCCGAAACCGTTGGGAACAGCTTGAGAGTACGTGTCTCTTTCTTCTTCTGCTTTGCGTTTCAGTCGAACCTCAACACATACGCTAAAACGCGCTATAACTTTCGGAACGATTCAAACCGTTTGAAAACAGGTAGCTCCGTATATTGATCCACCGGATGGATCACAACTACACACTTTAATGCAGGAACATCTTCATCCGGAATTGGAACCCGATCTTCCCTTGCGCTGAACTGGCCGGCTTGACGTGCCGCAAGGGCTCAGTAAGGGTTCCTACTTGTAGAGACCTGAAGCTAAGTGCTAGTTCCACAGTGACAATATCACATCATTAAGTTTTCAATTGTTGTACTAACCCTTCATTTCGATGATTGTATGATTGCCAAAATGATACGGAAATGGGTTAGTGATCTGATATTGTTTATACAAGCTGAGGTGACATTGATCGAGTCTCTTTATCG